TACTAGTAATCATTTCATCACCATATTAAAAATATTATAAATCTTTGCCGATTTAGAAAGAAATAAAGTTTTAATACATTAGTAATAGCACCAAGTTTTTATTGTTCTTTTAATGAATTAATAATGAAATGCTGTCTAATAATAGTTAATAATAATAATAATAAGTGATGTGTTAAAGTATAAATATCAAGTGTAGTGAAGTTTTTTAAATGTTTTTTTTTTGAAAATAAGTCAATAAAGTTTTCTTCAATAAAGTAAGGACAAATTAAAAATGTCAATACCGGTGACAAAAATTATTATTTAGTAAAACTAATCAGTACAAAGATTTTTACCGAGGTACCTAATTGGTATATATATTTTTTAATTTCAATAAGTATTACAACTGTTAAATTAATAACATCTAGTAATTGGTATATCAGCTCTCCTATTAATATTAGGATTGCCAGAAAAGTTTGTTCGTCCTCCATTTTTGTATCAAAACAGAAATAGAAATGTCACAAGCGGCTCGAAAAAATAAAATCGTTATAAATAATAAATATAAATATAAATAATATAATTTATTTAATTTGTTAATGTGCAGAATAGTTTTTGTGTTTAATTTTGTATAACAAAGTGTCCTAAGAAGTACTATTGCTAAATAGAAATTTGAACTGTCACTTTTTTGGGGTTAGAAAATAATTATTTGTGCTTTATCAATATTTAATACTAATAAGTTTATAATAATATAAACGTGGTGATAATAATATAAAAGTTATAATTAACTAATTCGTGTTTAAAGTTTAAATTTTTAAATGTGAGTTTTATAGTGTTCTATAGATACTGATACAAAAATAAAATGTAAACTGTCACTTTTTGGGGTTAGATAATTATTTGTTTTAAATTATTTGTATTCAAACTAATTGTGTAATAATGCATTGATATTAAATACTAATTTGTTCATGATAATAATATAAAAGTCGTTTTGAAATAATATACAGTTCAGTTTTGTGTTTAATTAGTATATATTTTGTGCTTTGTTGTGTCGAAACAAAAGTAAAACTTATAAACGTCACTTTTTGAGGTTATGTAAAATTATGAATTCAAAATTTTAGTGTTTTTTGTACAATTCAATAACTAAATTGCAAAATTAATAGTATTTATGTATTTGTGATTCTTAGTGATGGTTTAAAAAATTAAAAAGTGCGATTATTAGTTAAAAATTATAATTTGTGCTTAAAATGTTAAATTGAAAATCCTCGGAGCTTTAATAATGGAAGTGGCGAATATGGTTAGGTGACAATTTTTTTAATATTTTTAGTGTTTAATGAATTAATTATGAAATGCTGTTTAATAATAGTTAATAATAATAATAAGTGATGTGTTAAAGTATAAATATAAAGTGTAGTGTTGTTTTTAAAGTAATTTTTCAATTAATAATATCCTGGCGGAAAGAACAAATTAAAAATGTTAAACTGGGTGAGGAAAATTGATTATTTTTGGGTTTCTTAAAACTATTGAAAATTGTTTTAATGATTTTCATGATTCTCTAACGATTTAAATATGGATGTTTAATTAAGTTTTAGCGTTTGTTTGTATTAATTTTTGTTTATTTTTAATATATGGACTTTAATAATGCTAAAACTTTAATTCACAATATTACTTATTACTACTGAAATAAACATAGAGATGTCGCCTACATTTAATAATACTAATATACATATTAATATTTTAAAATTAATTTCTAATTAAAATAAAAAAGACAATTTTACATTCGTTAGAGATTTAAACTCTAAAATTTTACGAATATTGTTTTTGTCGTCGTTCCTTCGACTATAACTTTAATAAAATGTCCTATTTTTAATTAACAGGTCAATGTTAATTAAATGTTAACTAATTTAGTACACTTGACGACTTTGCTAAACTAGTTTAACTTTGTGAACATAACTAAAGACATCATATTAAAAATAACATTAAAAAACTAAATATGTAATATTATTAAATTTTTAGTGTTAGGGTTTATTAAAAAAATTAATTAAAAATTGATCCTTATATTCGAAAAATAAAAAAAGGACTTAACTATATATTATAGTTAATATAAATAGTGAGTTAAATTAAATATAAAAATTGTTTGATTAAAATATTTAATAAATGATAAATACATGTTACAAGTTGAAATTACTCCAGAAAAATATTATGTTTCTGTCATAACATCATAGTGTTTGTTTTTCACAATGCTTTAAGTAGTTTTGAATCGTTTGACACCAAAATTGTAATATCTCGGCTTATTAATTTTAAGTTTTCCAAGCATTGTTTCAAAGTTTTTTTTAGGATTTCAGAGTTCAACCATTTTTTCTATACAATTTTGTTCGAAAAGTTTTTAAACGTTATATACAGTTCTGTAGATAATTTTGTCAGCTTTCTAACGATATATAATACTTATAATATATTTAATTAAATTTAAACAAAATCAATATAAATGTAAACCACGAACATTTATTTATAACTTGAATTATTTTAAAATTGGCGCCGTCAAGCCGCCATGTTGGATTTGGAACTGTCAAGTAGACATTTTGATTTTGCAACTGTCAACAAAAGAAATTTTAAACTGAAACAATGTGGACGCCTTACGATGGTGTTAATTTCAAAGTTTAACGAATTATTTTTGCATAAGTTTGTTCTAATAGTAACAAATTGTTATATACAGATTTGTAGATAATTTTATCTACTTTTGAACAATATATAGTGATACATAGGTATAGAAATGAATTTTACTATAATAATGCTAAATTCAAAAAAATGTAACCAATGAAATCCATCAACGGTAACTAATTTTTTAAGTTCTTACATTTTTCTTGAATAATTTTGTTTGAAAAGTCTCTAAACGTTATATACAGACTTATAGAAAACAATACCCTTTTAACAATATATAATACTATTGCTAAATTTTAATTTTGTTTAGTAAAATGTGCGTTGATGTAAAAAAAGTGCAACCGATGAAACTAATAATATAAAATGACACTTTAAAGTTTATAAATATTTTGTGAATAATTTTGTTCGAAACATGTTAAATTGTTATATTCCGAGTTGTAGATAAATTTATTAGCTTTTTAACGATATGTAATAATATATAAGTGTTGGAACAAATTTTAGTAATATAAACTAAATTGTAAACTTTATATATTTTTCATATTTAATTTTGTTCGAAGACTTATTAAATGTTATTATACACATTTGTAGACAATTTTATTTTAAGTTTTGCAATTAATAATTCATTTATTTTGGGTAAAAGAGGCTACAATTTGGAGTTTTTTTTTTCAATTTACATCATTTGCGGAAAATTTTGTCTGGACCTTTTTTAACATTAACATTATTATATATCATTACAATTAAAAATTACACTTTGAATTTCAATATTATCACACATTTATTTAAATTTGCATTATTTCTCGAAAAAATTGGTAACTGTTTTTTTCTTATTGTATAATAATACAAAGCTTATTAAAAAGTCTACAAATATGCATTTTTACATTCATAACTGTTGGAATAATATTTCTACTAAAACAATACTTAGAATTAAATATTATCAAGTACATATTGCATTAGTTTACAAGTAACTAGATACTACAATTTAAATTTTACTGATTTTTCTAATTTAATTTTGTTAGCAAAGTTATTAAACGTTATATAGATTTGTAGGCAATTTTATCAGCTTTCTAACAATATATAATACTATAGTTATATTTTAAATCTGTGAAATAAAATAAACGTTTGTATATAAAATGTTTTAAAATTACTGCATTCAATTTGAGAACAATGTACCGAACACAATGTACCGGACACATGAAGTTGTCCGCGGTTTGGTACTGTCAACTCTTTTTTGCCAGTTGAGATTTGAATTTGAATTTACAATGTAATATTTGTCTTTTATCATGAACTATAAATAATTTTGTTCGAAAACTTATTAAACGTTATATACAGAGTTGTAGATAATTTTATTAGCTTTTTAACGATATATAAATAATATATAAGTGCTAGTACAAATTTTAGCAACATAAACGTAAATTAAAAAAAAAATCAAACAACGGCTAACTAAATTTTGAACTTTACACATTTTTCACATTTAATTTTGTTCAAAAAGTTTTTAAACGTTATATACAGAGTTGTAGACAATTTTATTAGCTTTCTAACAATGTATAATACTATTGTTATATCTTAATTATTTATAATGAAATAAGCGTTTATATAAAAAAAGTGCAACCAATCAAATATAGGGTCCGCCAAATTACTTTATTTTTTTTACAAACTACTGAATATTTTCTAAAATTTCTTTTTTATTTGAAAGTACAATCCTTTCAGTTAATAATGAAATTAATTCTGTTAATACTTTAATTCAAAAATGAAGAAAAAAAGCCTCGGCTGACCGTTGAAAAAAAAAAAAAAATGAAAATGAAAAATGTAAGATGGGATACCCTATATATAATTATGGACTCTCAAAGCATAGTGCTAATAACTCGATACTAAATTTTATATTTTACACATTTTTTTTAATTAATTTTGTTCGAAAATTTTTAAACGTTATATACAAAGTTGTAGATAATTTGATTAGCTTTTCAACGATATATAACAATATATATGTTGTGGAACAAATTTTAGCAATATCTAAGTAAATATAAACAACTGTAACCACTAAACACTAATGGCTAACAACAGTTTCAACTTTACAGACTTCTCTTGCTAAAGTTTGTTCGAAAAGTTTCAAAACGTCATATACTGTTTTGTAGACAATTCTATCAGCTTTCTAACAATATATAACACTATTGTTATATTCAAAATATTTTTAACAAAATAAACGTGCAACCCATGTGCAACCAAATAAATACACAGTGCTACAAAACAGGCTCTAAAAACATTACCAAGTGCATATCGATCAATTCCACCGCACCAAAAAATACCCCAAACCCTCAGTGACTTTATCAAATTCCAATTTTTGGAAAATTTTGATTCTATCTATTTTTAAAAAAATGGTTTTCTCTAAATCCGGCCAATACGATTTGTGCAGATGGAAATTGCTGCAAATTGCAGTCGATGAGAGGTACAAGCAATTCTGCGAGTTCGGCAAAGAAGGCGGCGTGACGTCACAAGGGTTCCTGACGGGTTCCGTAGAGGCACCTTGGGAGAGGGCCATCACTCCGAGCAAAGTGCCTTATTATATCAAGTAAGTGGGAAAATACTTTAAATGTTATATACAGATTTGTAGAGAATTTTATTAGCTTTTTAATGGTATATAATAATATATATGTGTTGGAACAAATTTTGGCGATACAAAGGTAAATATAAAAAAATGTCACCAATTAAATTTTAAAGTTTACTTATTTTTCCTAAACAATTTTGTTCCAAAAGTTTTTAAACGTTATATACAGATTTGTAGATAATTTTATTAGCTTTTTAACAATATATAATATTATTGCTAGATTCTAATTTTGTATAATAAAATAATGGTTTATATAAAAAAGTGCAATCGATGAAACTAATAATATAAAATGGCACTTGAAAGTTTAGAAATATTTTGTAAATAATTTTGTTCGAAACGTGTTAAAGTGTGATATACAGAGTTGTAGATAATTTTCTTAGCTTTCTAACGATATATAACCGTATATATGAGCTGGAACAAATTTTAGCAATATAAACGTAAATATACAAAAATGTAACCTATAAAACTCGCCTTAAGCTAACTAATGTATCAATTTTACCAATTTTTCCTATTAAATTTTGTTTAAAAAGTTTTTAAACGTTATATACATATTTGTAGACAATTTTATTACCTTTCCTAACAATATATAACACTATTGTTATATTTTAACTTTGTTTAACAAAATAAATGTGCAACCGATGAAACTAACATACATATTAAATACAGCAAAACGACTTATTATAATTTGTATATAAAATTGTTTTAAAATTACTGCATTTAATTTTGAACAATGTACCCAACTAACATGAAGTTGTACACGGGTTGGTGGTACTGTCATCTCTTGTTTTAACGGTTGAGATTTGAATTTGAATTTACAATATAAAATTTGTGTCTTTTTAGAAGTTTTACTTAATTTTTTTATCGTAGTTTCAAGAGATTTGTATGCAGTTTACAATATTTATATAAAAGTAAATTTATGGGCCAATTCTGCGATAAAACGGATAAAAGACTCTACTGACGAACAAATTATATTTGGAATTGAGAAAAGTAATATTAGATTTATTTTTTAGGACAGAAAGGTGACTCTACTGACTAGCAAATTGATATAAGCCAATTTTAAACATTAAATTTAGAAAAATTTTATTGAATTTATTGTTTAAGTTTGACAGCTTTTAACGCCATTTTGAAATTTTATCGATAAAGTTGATTGATTATAATTTTAATAGGAGTTTTTGCTTCTTATAATTTAAATATAATTATATATAATATAATATAAAATAAACGGATTAATTTAATTGTATACATGTCGAATTGCAAGCTGAAATATAGTAAATATGAGTAAACGTTAATTAAACTATAGACAACGTTTGACAGTTTCCGAAGTTATGAGTTTATAATTAAAATTATGTGGAATTTATTAATATAATATAAATGTACATTCCTTATAAAATGAATTTAATGTAACTTATAAAACTAACTTTATAAATAGTTAAACTGCAAAACTTTAAATATATACGCATCAAATTTAATTAACATAACTAATAACTTTTGGCAGTTGTTTGCGCCATTTTAAAATTTGACAGTTTTAGCTGCAAACGTGATTAAAGATTTATTATAAATTTTATAAATTTTTTATTAATAATTCTAACGTTCGTTGATATAATATAAATCTACATCTGATATAAAATAAATTTAAGTGTTCTTTTAATTATGAACAGTTAGAATTTAAAGCTAAAGTAATTAATATTGATACCCGTTGACAGCTGTTTAAACTGTTTAAGTTGCAAACGTGTTCAAAAATTTTGAATTTTACAAATGTTTATTTTTTTTTTGTAAATTATAAATATAAATGTTATTTTTGATATTAAATAAATACAAGTGTTTTTTAAATATATACAGTTAAAATTTAAATTTATAATATCTTAATTTTTATTTACGAGTTTGACAGTTCTTTCCGCCATTTTAAATTTAAATATCTATTCTGCACACATATCGATATTTTTTTATTATAATTTCAATATTCATTTGTGCAATTTACTGTTTAGTAATATAATATAATATAAATTTAGTTATTTATAAAATAAATTCAAGTGTACTTTCACAAGTAAAATTTAAAGCTAAAATATCTGAATTATGTTTAAATATTAATTATAGTAAATACAAGAGTTGACAGTTGTTCTACGCCATTTTAAAACTCGATAGTTTATTAAAATTAGCATTTTTTCATAATTTTAAGAGCCGTCTTTGCAAATGTATATTTTTTTCGCATAAATTGATGAATTTATATTAATAATGAAACAAACTGCTTACTGATTACATATTTAAAAAAGTCACCCAAATTGCATATATTATAATGAGCATAGATACTATATATATATAGATTGACACAAAACAAAGAGAAACTTATATAGAGTAGAATATAGTGTGTTTAGTATCAATCTTCAACAAATTTAAATGTATGTGCTTTAAATAATAAATGTGATTTTATACGTAAAATATAAAACTTAAATATTATTATAATTGTTATTCGTGACTTTTATATATATATATATATATATATACATATATATCTTTCATGTATAAATTAAATTGTTCTTTCAAATTTCTTTTGTTATCAAAATGGCGGACCGACTGTCACTTAGTAAGGTTATTTTTTTGAATTTTTATGTTTTTAAATATATAATGTTTTTTTTTGTGATTGCAGCCATCAGTTGGAAACGACGCATTGGGATCACCCCAAGATGATAGATTTGATGAACTCTTTGGCCGATTTGAACGAGGTTCGATTTTCGGCCTACAGGACGGCCATGAAGCTGAGGGCCGTACAGAAAAAACTAGGAAGTAAGTAAAATTTTAATAACATAACATTTACAACAATTTAATAGAAGTTTATTTATAATTTATGTGCTTGTTTAATTTTTCTAGTGAACATGTTGAGTCTCTCCAGTGCCCTAGAAGCTTTCGACAATCACGGATTAAGGGCCCAGAATGATAAACTCATCGATATCCCTGATATGGTGACTGTCTTGACGTCTCTGTATGAAATTATTGCAAACGAGAACCCGAAGGCCCAAATCAACGTCCCATTATGTCTCGATTTGGCCATAAATTGGCTGTTGAATGTTTACGATAGTCAACGAACTGGCCAAATCAGAGTTTTGAGCTTTAAAGTCGGTTTGGTATTACTTTGCAAAGGTCATCTCGAAGAAAAGTATAAGTAAGTATTGTCGATGCAGTATAAGAAATTGCATGATGTGGGTTTTATAAATTTGTTTTATTTTTTAGGTATCTTTTCCGGTTAATAGCCGATCCTAATCGTTTGGTCGATCAAAGGAAGTTAGGATTGCTTTTGCACGATTGCATTCAGGTGCCGAGACAGCTGGGTGAAGTTGCAGCTTTCGGAGGTTCAAATATTGAACCGAGCGTTAGAAGCTGCTTTGAGAAGGCCGGAAAGGTAAGATTCATAATAATAATAATAATAATAGTAATAGTAAATATTAATAGCTGCAAATATTTTAAATTTATTAATTAACAATGTTTGTGAAACTTAATATATATTTTAACAACATTATTACAAATCGAAAACTTTTTAAACCATCAAAATCCGTCCAACCGTTCTTGAAATATGATAAATGTATATTACACAAGTAAAAATTCATTCACAAAAAGTCTATCACGCACGTTCGAATCACCCGCTTCGACCGAACATCATAGACTTAAAGCTTAAATCGTTAAACATAACGTTTAACGCGCTCTACGCTCAATCCATACTTAGAAGTTCAAAGGGCATCCTTGACACCTCAAAACATAGACCGATACTGTTTTTTGAACTTTTTATTAACGATACGACTATAATGTTACGGAATATCGTTGTAAATGTGATAAATAATAGTTTTTGCCTATCGGCAAATTGTTAGATGGATAATAATCACTAAAAAAATCACTGTAATAAAAGATAAAATAGGAAGTTTAACTAAAAATAGCACGATTTGGCTTTATATTTAGTTTTGTTAATGATAAAACTAAATAATGATAAAAATATTTTATTAACGCTTACCATGCGCATCCGAGCCTAAGCAAAGATGTATGGGAAAGCGTCGTGTTAGGTTCGGACGACATGGCGAGCGCTAGTCGAATTGAAAATATTAAAGTTTCGGTGAAGATTTTCATATATCAAATATAGGCATGTGGGGTATCAAATGAAAGGTCTCGACGAGAACTAACTAGAAATCATACTTAAACATTCTAAAAAGTAATAGGGTTCCGTACAAAATGTTTATTTATTTCGTAATGTCAATTTTTACAATTTTAAAATACAACGATTGGCTGTAAGTATGTTAGGTTATGTTATAGATAATTGAATTTACCACAATTTTGCCGAATATTTCGTTCAATTTGGACGAACGGTTCAAAATTTACAAGAGATTGAATGAAAGGTAAACCAATGGGTTGCAGAACTCAGGGTCTAGTATGAGTTGAGAAGTTTTACTTCAAATATAGGCATGTGGGGTATCAAATGAAAGGTCTCGACGAGCACTTGAATAATATCATAATAATAGACTTTTAACACCGATAGGGTTTTCTACTTTAATTTTGTTAAATTAATTGTTAATTTTTATTTCTAATCTTGTAAACCGAGTGATGGTAAGGCTTCTATTCATAGACAGTATTATAGATTGCTTAATTATATACAAATTTGCCGAATATTTCACTTCTCTGAGACAAATAGTTTAAAAGATACAAGAGATATAATAAAAAGTAGACCAATGGGTTGCGAATGTAAAAACAAAATATGATTCAAGAAGTTTTACTTCAAATATAGGCATGTGGGGTATCAAATGAAAGCTCTCGACGAGCACTAACCAAATATACGAGTGACGTACAAAACTGACTGATAGGGTTCCGTACAATTACACATATCCATTATTCAACACTATTTTTTTAATTTTTATTGCAATTTTAAAGTATACAGAGTTGATTTAAGGATTTATATTAAGTACAACCATAGATAATTTAATTTAGAACATTTTTGTAGAATGTATCATTTGCGTCAAAGGATTTGTTTCAAAGTTACAAACAATTTAATAAATAAATGCACAGGAATGAGTTGTCATACTATAAATAGTACAGCGGGTCAAACATGAGTTGAGAAGTTTTACTTCAAATATAGGCATGTGGGGTATCAAATGAAAGGTCTCGACGAGCACTATCCAAATATTTTAGTAACAAGCTCAATAAACCTATAGGGTTTTATACACATGAATTATTTACCTTTTAATAGCAATTTTTGCTATTTTAAAGTATGCCAAGTTGATTTAGGGTTCTAACATACTAGAAAATAATATACATCTTTTAATTTAGCACAACTTTACCGAATGTTGCATTTAAATCGGACGAACCGTTCAAAAGTTACAGGATATGTAACGAAAGTAAACCAATGGGTTGCACAGCTCTGAATCTAGTGTGAGTTGAGAAGTTTTACTTCAAATATAGGCATGTGGGGTATCAAATGAAATGTCTTGACTAGCACTATCCTAAAATCATACTTAAACACTTAACAAAGCAACAGGGTTCCGTACAAAGCATACAAATCCAAGAAGTTAACATTGCTATATCTATTATTACGTCACTTACAGCTAGTTTATTTTTTGTTTCCAGGATTTAACAGCGATCGAAGCAATGCACTTTTTGAGTTGGCTCCAGCAGGAGCCCCAGAGCATGGTTTGGCTGCCGGTGCTGCACAGATTAGCTGCTGCCGAGGCAGCTAAACATCAAGCCAAATGTAATATTTGTAAGGAGTATCCGATCGTTGGTTTCAGGTAATGTTTAATAACCACATATACACGTATGTATAATTTTGTTACGTTTATATGTTTATGAATGTGTTTTCATTTATTTACCAGATATCGTTGTCTGAAATGCTTCAACTTCGACATGTGCCAAACCTGTTTCTTCTCAGGACGAAAAGCCAAAAACCACAAACTGACACATCCGATGCAGGAATACTGCACCACGGTAAGCAATAGTATTCTCGGTTACACTTTTTATCTTATATGGCAACACTAATTATAAGGAAATAACTCCAACCAGTTCGAAATAATTGGTACTACTGAAGGGCATTCATTAATCATGTGATCGATTTTTTAGTACTTTTTGATTACCCCTCCCCGAATTTACGAAAAAAACGTTTTTTAATGATCGATCTACACCAAAAAAGGACTCTTCTGACGAGCAAACTGAAAATTCTTAACTAAAAAGGACTCTACTGCCAAACAAAATTAAATTACCAAAAAAAAAGACTCTACTGACGAGCAATTGATTTAAATTACTCAAAAATTACATTAACAAAAAAGAGAAATTAAAAATTATATCAACAAGAAACTCTATTGACGAACAAAATAGTTTAAAAATTATATTAACAAAGAATGGACTTTACTGACGAGCAAACTTAGAAAATGCAAAAAGGGACTCTACTGACGAGCAATTTAATTGAAAGTTTCAATTAAATATAAACTAAATTTAAATATTAAACATTAAATGGCAAGCTAAAAAAATAAAAAAGAAACTCTACTGACAAACAAACTAAAAGTCGGTTCGATATTGAAATAAATAAAATGGGACTCTAGTGACGAGCAAATTGATTAAAATTGATTAAAAAAAATAACAAAAAAAGGAATCTACTGACGAGCAATCTTAATTTTGATCTGAAATTTTAAAAAAAGGACTCTACTAACGAGCAAACATCAAATATAAATTTAAATAACAAAACGGGACTCTACTGACGAGCAAACAAAAAATCAATTTGAAATTAAAATCAATAAAAACAAAAAGGATTCTGATCAATATAAAAGGGACTCTACTGACGAGCAAACATTAAAAACAAATTTAAATAACAAAAAAGGACTCCACTGACGAGCAAAGTAAAAATTAGATTGAAATATAAAAAAGGACTCTACTAACGTGCAAATCAAAAATTGTATCAAAATTATAAAAATACAAATTATAAAATACAAAATGGATTCTACTGACGAGCAAAATAAAAATCAGATTGAAATATAAAAAGGGACTCTACTGACAAGCAAATAAAAATTTACTTAAATTAAAAATGGACTCTACCAACGAGCAAAATAAAATTTGACTTTAAATAAAGAAGGAACTCTACTGACAAGCAAAGTAAAATTTGACTTTAAATTAAAAAGGGACTCTACTGACAAGAAAACATTAAATACAAACTTAAATAACAAAACGGGACTCTACAGACGAGCAAATTAAATTAACAAAAAAGGGACTCTACTGACCAGCAAACATTAAATAAAAATCTAAAAAAACGTGAAAGGGACTTTACTAAAGAGCAATCTTAATTTTAATCTAGAATTTTAAAAAAGGATTCTACTGGCGAGCCAAATTAAATTAATAGAAAGGGACTCTACTTACGAGAAAACTAATTTAAAAAAATAGACAAAAGGGACTCTACTGACGAGAAAACTAAAAATCAATTTGAAATTAAAGTCAATAAAAACGAAATAAACTCTCATCAGTAGAGAAAAGGACTCTACTGACGAGCAAAATAAAATTTGACTTCAAATTAAAAAAGGACTCTACTGACCAGCAAAATAAAATTAACAATTAAAGGACTTTACTGACGAGCAAACTAATTAAAAATTGAAATTAACAAAAAACGAGCAAATTATTTTTTTATTTAGAAAATTAAAAAAGGGACTCTACTGACGAGCAAAATTAAAATAAAATGAAAAAACTCTACTAGCAATACACTTATTTCTCACACACCTTTATCAGGCTAATTTAATCATCCGTACATGTTTTTATATCTCTCCTTATCTATCTTTACTTTTTTATATCATATCTTTATTACATCTTAATATTAATTTCCTAAAATCTTTCTTTACCATCACATTCAATTAATATATCCATTCCTCAGACAACCTCCGGTGAAGACGTTCGTGACTTCACAAGAGCTCTCCGTAACAAATTCAAATCCAAGAGATACTTCAAGAAGCACCCCCGAGTTGGCTATCTACCAGTCCAGACTGTTTTGGAAGGCGACGCCCTGGAAAGTCCAGCGCCGTCACCACAGAGGTCAGCACTCGCTCCCGATATGCATTCCAGGTTGGAGATGTATGCAACCAGGTTGGCCGAGGTTGAACTGAGGACTAGGAGCAATTCTACACCGGATTCGTAAGTAGATTTAAATGGCGAAAAATTTTTGTTGAAATATTGGTAAATATAAGTGCGCCCGCGACGGGAAGTTTTCATTTGCCCCGGCGCCCACGCAAGGGGTGCAAACTTTTACCCACTCGTTGTTAGTTTTCTCGTCAGTAGAGTTCATTTCTACTTTTTTGTTTTATTTAGTGATGATGAGCACCAACTGATTGCCCAATACTGCCAGTCTCTAACCGGTCCCAACGACTCCAATAACACGAACTCCAATTCGGCGCCCAGAAGTCCGGTTCAATTGATGGCGGCCATGGACGCCGAACAAAGGGAAGAATTGGAGGCAATGATTAGAGAGCTGGAGGACGAAAATAAGGCGCTTCAAGCCGAGTATGAACGATTAAAAAAGGACGGCGGTGATAAAAACGAGAGGGGGGATAGACATGATGGTGATGAGAGGGATGGCGGAGGGGTTAATGGAAATGGTGGAGCAGGTGAGGGAGAGATTTTTTTAAAAAATGACATTTATGTAATAGTTGCTAGAGTTTTTAAGTTATGTTTTGTAAAAGTATTTGTTTTAATTTTTTTTAAAACGCTTGTCAGTAGAGTTTTTCTTGTCATTCTTAATTTGATCGTCAGTAGAATCTGTTTTTTGATTTTTTTTTTAGTTTGTGAATAGTCTCTTTCTCTTTTAAATCTTAAAAATTTAAATTTGCTCGTTTGTATAGTCCCTTCTTAATCTGATTTATCTAGTTTGGTCGTCAGTAGAGTCACTTTTACACTTTTTTTATTTAGTCAGTACAGCCCCTTTTTATTATTTCAGTAGAATTTTTTAATTTTTTCTTGATTTGTTCTTTAATAGAGTTTTTGGCGACACTTTTTTTTTAATTGCTCGTCAGTAGAGTCCTTTTTGTCATTCTTAATTTGTTCGTCAGTAGAGTTCTTTTTGTCATTCTTTTCCGGAATTTGTTCGTCAGTAGAGTCCTTTTTACTTTTTTCTAATTTGTTTGTCAGTAGAGTCCTTTCTCTGTTTTTTTCTAGTTTATCAGTAGAGTCCTTTCTTGTTTTTAATTGAGTTTTTTGTCAGTAGAGTTCCTTCTTATTTATTTCAGTTTTTTCGTCAGTAGAGTCTCTTTTACATTTTTTTATAATTTGCTTGTCAGTAGAGTCCTTTTTGTCATTCTTAATTTGCTCGTCAGTAGCGTCTGTTCTTTGATTTTTTCATAATTTGCTTGTCAGTAGAGTCTCTTTTATCATTTCTTTGTGTTTTATTAGTAGAGTCCCTACTTTTAATTAAGTATTCTTGTCAGTAGAGTTCCTTCTTCGTTATTTCAATTTTCTCATCAGTAGAGTTCCTTTTAAAAAAAATTCTACGAAAATCCAATTTTCTTGTCAGTACGGTTCTTTTCTCTTATTTTTACTGAATTCGTTTATCAGTAGAGGTTTTTTCGACACTTTTGTCTCAATTAGCTCGTCAGTAGAGTCTTTTTTTATAAATAGTTTCTGCGAAATCCCTTTTTTAAAAATAATTTCTAGGAAACCTCAATTTGCTCGTTAGTAGAGTCCATTTTACATTTATCATTCTTAAGTTTCTTGTCAGTAGAGTTTTTTTTACATTTTTTTAAATTTGCTCGTCAGTAAAGTTCTTTTTATGATTTTTTTTCTTAATTTGTTTGTCTGTAGAGTTTTCTTTATGATTCTTTCCTACTCTGTCAGTAGAGTCCCTTTTTTAAAAAAATAATTTCTAAAAAAATCTCAATTTGCTTGTCAGTAGAGTTCTTTTTATGATTTTCTCTCTTAATTTGCTCGTCAGTAGAGTTCTTTTTACATTTTACATTTTGTTTCTCTCATTTTGCTCGTCAGTAGAGTTCCTTTAGTTAAAAAAATCTACTTACAATTAGAATTTTATTTAACGAATAGAATATGAAGTTTTAAGTTTCTATTATTTAATCTGTTTGTCTATATAAGTTTAAAATGGTTATAGAAGAAGATAAGATAGGTTTTTCAGTTTTAAATAACTGTTTAAATTGAAATTGTTTATTTTTAGATTTATTATTACTTAATTTGTTTATTTATTTCTTTTAGGTAATAGCGATACTCTGACGAGATCTGGTAACAGCGATCAGGATATGGTGGCCGAAGCGAGGCTGCTGAGACAGCACAAAGGGAGACTCGAGGCCAGGATGCAGATTTTGGAGGATCACAATCGACAGTTGGAGGCACAGTTGCAGAGATTGAGACAACTTTTAGATGAGGTAAATAAAACCTTAAAATAATAATAAGAAGTGTTATTTGAGTGAAAGTTGGTTAACTAACTAAGAGATTCAGTGTGAAAGAAAGATAGTTTGAGAGAGAAAGTAAGATAAATAGAGAAACGAGAAGTCAGGGAGAGATCAATAGAGAGAGAAAGTGAGATTGTAATAAAGCAAGTAAAAGTTATTGGACAAATGTATTTGTGTATTCAAATTTCGCACGAACCTTATCTTTGGAATACAGAGTGAAGTATGCTATGCTACTATGCGATTAGGCTTTGTTGTGTTTATGTACGACCTGTTCCATATTGTATTTCAAGGAGACCACATCCAGCTAATAAATCATCTTATATTTTAAATTGTCTTTTGGTTAATGTTATTATTTATTTTCTTTATTACCAGTTATGTATAGAGAGTGATGTAGGGAGATAAAGACATTTTAGTTCTAGAGTGATATAGAAAGAAATAGAAAGAGAAAGTGAGACGAAAAGATTTAATTTTACATTTGTTTACATTTTTTTTCTATTTCAGCCAAATGCAGCTTCTCCGTCTAAAACTGGAACTTTGCAAACGAGATCAGTGACGGCTTCACAATTGGCAACGGATTCACCGGCTAAGATGCAGAATGGACTTTATCATGAGTCGAGTAAGTTAACTAAAACATAAATCAGCAAATTATCTTTATCTTGAATCGATCAAGTATATCTTTATAATAAATCGATAAAATTGATCTCTTCTTCTAATATTCTTATGTCTTCTAATATTTGTACGTTTAACCAAATTTACTTTAAATTAGTCTTATAATAATATAGAATTGCTATTCAATATAATAATGAAAATAAATAATAATATACAGTATTTTGAAACATTTTGGTTCATAAATTTCATTTTTAAATTTTCCTTATGGGAATCTAGAAAATTTATCTCTGTCTCCGTAAATTATGTCATTTTTATACATTTTATTTTGTTTAAACAAATAGATTTAAAAGTATTTTAATAATAATATAAAATTCATTCTTAATTCATTCGTAAAATTTATTATAAGTTACATTCTTAAATTGTTTTAGTACAGTGAAGCTTTAAACCATTATGGCAACCTTAGCAAATATACAAACCATATCAAGAATTTTCTTAAAAAAATGCTCAATTCATTAAAGTAAATTAATTAAAGTAAAATTTTATTATTATGCTTGAAACATTTTTCTAAATCGATTTTTTCTCTTGTTTTATATTTACTAATAATACTTTACGATAACATTTGGTTACGATTAAATCAGGTAACAAAAGCAAACAAAAATTTTACTTTATTTCTATTTTTAATTGCTTGCACGTTTTACATAATTAATTTTGATTTTATTCAAATAATGCCAAAGTTCAAGTGTGAAACACGCTTTACTACGCTAAAGCATCCGCCACACTCTACCGGCGCCATATAAACTCATAAACAACCGTTATATACAAAATGTCAAGTGTGTGTGCCGCTTTAGGCTAAAGCGTGTAACACACTGTGCGAATTTATAAAATTAAAATAAAATTTTGAAAAGAAGTAAAGAAAATCTTAATTTGTTCTGCGACGTTTTCAAAATAGATATAATACCCCAAATAAATTCTTTTAATATGATAAAAATCTTTCTTGTCTTTGTGCTTCCAAATTTTCCCAAAATTTCAACTTTTATTGAAATCCAGACTCAGTTTGTTTGATCGCTAGTAGAGTCCTTTTATTATTAATATACTCATTTTTTATATTTCAAGATTTTCACTTGTCGTAGTTAGTCTGAAGAAGTTTTACTTCAAAAAATTTATATTATTAAATTTATATTATTAACATTTGTCAGACTTTTTTGAATAGAAGCTGAGTACTTAACATTAACTAAATGATTTGTCCAATATACACTTTTTACTTTACTTCAGCTTAAAGAAGTTTTACTTCAAAATTTTTAAGTTGTATTTTATATGGCATGTGGGGTATCGTTTGAAAGATCTCGATGAGTAGAAAACGATTCTCATACAATAAAATGATTATATCATAATAAAAACATTACATATTCTCATATTTTATTGCAAAAAAATATTACAATATTAAAATTTATTAATTCTCTTTTACTATATGTATTGTCTAAATCTTTTGTATCGAATTCTACAATTAACTATGTCTATTGTCCACAGTATATACACTTTTAATGAGTTTGTAGTAAACGGCTTAAAGAAGTTTTACTTCAAATTTTTAAAATGTGGTTTTATGGCATGTGGGGTATCGTTTGAAAGGTCTCGACGAGTAGAATCTGAATCTTATTATTATATCGTCTCAATTCATATTTTATAATGATGATTCAACGAATAATTTGTTCAAAATTTTATTAAACGTAAATTATATTTTTACTACAACTTTAATTGTAATAAAATTAATAAATTGTGAATAAATAAACATAATTTATATCCTAATTGATTTTTTTTTAGTTTCAGGAGGTTGGGCAGATGGTAGAAGTTCTTGGACAGATGGACGAAGCAGTCTGGATAGGCCTCCACCGCCTGCACACAATGTGCAGCAGACGATGGGCAATCTTATGCACATGGCAGGTAAGAAATAAATATATATATATATATATATATAATATATATATACATACATATATATATATACACATATATATATATAATATATATATATATATATATTTCTTGTGATATATATTTGTTTTTATTCTTTGCAAGCAGCTGGAAGGATATAAATGAAAGACGGTAAGAGTAAAAAAAAATTCACAATTAAAATGTAATATACAGATTTGTAGATAATTTTATAAGCTTTTTAACGATATATAATAATATATAAGTGTTAGAACAAATTTTAGCAATATAAACATAATTATAAAAAAATGTAACCTGTAATATCTGAGTACCTGAATGACTTTTACATAATAACATTTAGAAAGACTCAAAAATATTATTGACAGCAATTGTTTTAAAATAAAGTATAAATAAAATATAAATAAAATAATTATTATTTATAAAACGCAAATATTATATTGTAAATTCAAATTCAAATCTTAACGGTCGCAAAAGTGTTGACAGTACCAACTCGTGTGCAACTTCATGTGTATTGGGTACATTGTTCAAAATTAAATGCAGTAATTTCAAAACATTTTATACACAAATTGTAATAAGTTGTTTTCTGCTTTTAATATGTATGTAGTTTCATCGGTTGCACGTTTATTTTGTTAAGCTAAGTTAAAATATAACAATAGTGTTATATATTGTTAGAAAGCTAATAAAATTCTCTACAAATCTGTATATAACGTTTAAAAACTTTGCGAACAAAATTAAATAAGAAAAGCGTGTAAAGTTGAAACTGTTGTTTAGCCATTAGTGGTTAGTGGTTACATTTTTGTATATTTACGTTTGTATTGCTAAAATTTGTTTTAACACATATATATTATTATATATCGTTATAAAGCTAGTAAAATTATCTACAACTTTTTGTACTACATTTTGTTACGTTTCGAACAAAATTATTTACAAAATATTTCTAAACTTACAAGTATCATTTTATATTATTAGTTTCACCGGTTGCACTTTTTTATATAAACGTACATTTTGTTATAAATAATTAGAATATAACAATAGTATTATATATTGTTGGAAAGGTAATAAAATTATCTACAAATCTGTTTATAACGTTTTATAAGTTTTCCAACAAAATTGAATAAAAAAAATTTGTAAATATTAAGTTTTTGTATCTAATTATAAGCCAATATGGGATTTCACCGGTTACATTTGGCAATATTTACAGTTATATTGCATAAATTTGTTCCAACACTTATATATTAAAATATATTGTTAAAAAGTAGATAAAATTATCTACAAATCTGTATATAACAATTTGTTAGTGTTGGAACAAAATTATGCAAAAATAATTCGTTAAACTTTGAAATCAACACAATCGTAAGGCGTCGACATTGTTTTAGTTTAAAATTTCTTTTATTCGTGTTGACAGTTGCAAAATACAAAATGTCTACTTGACAGTTCCGAATCCAACATGGACGCTTGACAGCTCCAAATTTGAAATAGTTCAAGTTAGGAATAAATGTTCGTGGTTTATATTTATATTTATTTTGTTCAAATTTAAGTAAATATATTATAAGTATTATATATCGTTAGAAAGCTGATAAAATTATCTACAATC